GACGATGTTAGGTAAGTTACAGACGTGGCAGTCGCCATCGCTGCGCTCTATCAAAATCAAATTATCTCTATCAGGGCACGAAATAAAGGAGAAAAAGCATATTGCTTTAAGCAAAATGCTACTGAAGTGGTCTTAACATTAAGGAAAGTATTAGCCTACGAGGGTTATATAGCATAAACACGGAGGGGCGGGGCAGGGCAGGGCAGGGGAGGGGAGGGAGGGAGAGAGAAGTAGGGGGTACATTGGGATACAGGGAGGACCCAGGGTGAAATGCTGCCCGCATCTCTTTGTGCTACTTTTCTCCCTTTACGTCAGGAGCGACGCACCGAATTACATTTACATAACGCCAATTACGCTGTGCCCCGTATGCCGTTAAAAACGTAGTTTACTTTACCTTCGTTAACATTGCCCTAGGCTAGCCAAGCGGCAAACTGCATTAAGCGACCGGAGATACCGTCACGACATACGCCCGACTGGCTCTTCGCCACCCACTTGAGGAACACTACCCAGTCGATGGAAGCCATTAATCGCACTGCCCTCCCTATCAGGAGACTACTGACGGATCCAGGCACGCTCTATGCTCGATGTTACCAAGGACCATTCTACTGCGATCAGGATTCCAACGACCACCTAATTTCGTATCTTTTCAACTCTTTCCGACCAGGACCTCTTTATTCGGAAGCGTTACGGGAAGAACAGCTCTCAACTTAGGAATCAGATCTCGTTAAGGCTCTGGGACCGCCGCAATGTGGCCCTTCAAGGAGTGCATCGATTACGTCTAGACCGGCAAACACAGATCTAGAGGTGGCCAAGTGACACTGGAGGAGCTGACTGGAAAGTCAACCAGGCCCGACCAAGAGTGACCGAGACAGAACGATTAGGATAACCCACAGGCACTCCTCGTCATAAGGCCAACGACACAGATAGGCTGGCAAATAAAGGGTTTAATATGTGGTTAAAATGGATTTAGAAAACAAGGAAAAAAATAAATATATATATATATCCTCAAATACACATATTTATTAATATT